ATCCATGCGAGAGTGTGCAACTGATCTTGCCGCTCTCAGGGTAGTCGCACACCCAGGCGTACAGCAGGGGCCGCACGGTTTGCCAATCACCGAAAGGGTCCCTGAGACGGAACCCGCTGCAAGGAACAGGTATTGTGGCAACAGGAACATGGATTTCGGCTTTGTGCATCGGCGAAGAGGGACAAGGGGGACTGTTACATACAGAAACGCTGCGCATACTATGACGTTGATTGGGTGACGACATAGCAAGACGGAAATAGAGTATGGACCTTTCCATGCCATCAAGAAGCGGCTGCAGCACGGTGATGACGCATCGCTGGAAGAGCATCACCTTCTCCACGGCAGACATAGCAGAAGGGGGGATAGGAAGGAGAGCAAGTAGCGTGTGCCCGGCTTTCCCCCATCGCTTGGCCTGGGAGATGTTTGCAAGCGTCATCATTAGCGGCCACGCCTTCTTCCGGCCGTTGTTGCTCATGTGCGTCACATCCGAGTATAGGATGATACCCCCCACGACTTCGGACCATCCAAAGTGTTCCTGCAAGGCACGACAAAGAGGGAAAAGGCACACGGTCAAACACCAACAAGGTAACTTGTCGCCAGGTGGACTAAGCATGCTTCAAAGAACTCCCCAGAAACATGACACACTGAAGATGCTCCCTACACAACAGCGCATCAACGGAGGCATGCGCACTCTTCTGGTTTTGAGTGGCAACGGTGTATTTCCATACCTGAGCATCGTTCCACCACGTTCCAGTTTCCGGCGTGGTATAGCGACGCTCGCCTGTGTCAGGGTCCTCATCGACACGAGCCTTGAGCTTGAAGCCGGGCGCGTTGTTGGTATGCCCAAACAGTTCGGCAAACGCCTGGCGTACAGTGGCAAGAGCAGGAGAGAACCAAACCCTGGTTAGTGGCGTTGAAGGTGGGTCAGATCTCACACAAGCCTAACAGAGGCAACGTTCAACAAGCACCAAATGGATGCGGAATCTGCATTTCACAGCCACGGATCCAGATTCAACTTACCTGCGCAGAGTTCTGGAAGAGAAGGCGCTGTGGCGGATGTCCGTCAATCTCGAAGGTCGCCACTGACCATCCGCGATTGAGCCCAACCAAGCGCTCCATCTCGAACCGCTCCAGATCCTTGCTGTTTCGGATCTCTGAGATCACAAGAGGCGCAAGGCCGGGCTCCACCACGAGCTGAAGCAGGCCATTGATGTCGATCTCCGCCATTCCCATTCCGCCATTAACGCGCCGCACGAAATGCAGCAGCTTCAACGCAAGCGGATGGAGGGGCATGGCATTGCTCTGCCCAGAGATGCATGTCGGCGGTGCGGCGTGAGTCTCTTCAGGGCGGCTCTCCGGATGCTCACTCGTGTCAGAGGCATGTGTTCTGGGAGGCGGTTGATGCTCACTTTCAGAAGCCCCCACGTTCACAGATGAGGGTGTTGCGTCCCCGTCAGCTTCGGGCACGCGAGGAGGACCATTCACACCGTCGGTGTTGGACGCGTTAGACGCGGTAGGGGAAGCGGATGCAGCGGGAGCGTCTGACAGAATGTCGTGGACGAACAGCAGAGCGTGTAGACCGGCGGACGGTGCAGACGAGGAGGGCCTTGCCACAGCGGAAAGCCCTTGACAAGGGGTCCGCCGTGACTTATGGCCGCCATAAACCTGGGCGTTGGGGAACCATCTGTTGCAGAACTCGCATACTACGCCTGGCAAAGAGCCCATGTATTCTAGATCCGTCTAAGAGTGGTGGAATGTAGTGTGAGGAGACTAGCCAGTTTGAAGCTTGTAAACGCTTTTACTTCACGATCAATGAAGGCTCAGACTCCAGCACGGTCATCGCTACAGCGCAAAGTGTCCACGGCGGCTTGGATCTCTGCACGCCTGGCACTTGATCGTGGCGCATTAGTGAGAGACTGGCTAACAATGGTCGCGCAGCGCGGCCGTGACAAGCCTAGATACAGACCGCCGACAGCACGGCATAGGCCTTCCCTACAAGGCGTGTCGCCCCCTGTTAGAGTGATTACGACGTGAGCAGGGCCTTATGCAGTGGTGTACGGCTAGCTTGGTCGCGGGCGTGCGTGACGAGCACGGTGAGGAGTACGTGCCTCCATATTCAAAACTTCGGTTTTTGAATCGTGTGTGAGAGTCGAGGTGGGAGAGGAAGAGAGGGAAGAGATCTGTTTGGTGTTGTGATTCTTTCGAGAGCCTCTATAGGGGGGAGATCGCGATCACGTAGGTGTGCCCAAAGTGGTGCGCACCCCCATAGCCTTAATCCAAACCAGGTAATACCATTGTACAGTTACATATAACAAATAACTTAATGTCACTCATAACGATTATACGACCATACTTTACGGCATGCTCAATACCTTCCGGCATATTGACAACGGCAGTGCTTAGAAACAACACCGATAGTGTGGTCTGCTACCATTTGGGAAGCAACACCATTCCACAACCGTTTCACCATGTCGCGTAAGCCACGGGCCTGAACGCTGCAACGTCGCCGCGTCTGAACAGCGATGTCGATAACGCATAACCGCTCGTACGTTGGACCAGTGCTTCATGCCACACCCTCCATGCACCTTGTCGAGGGCCCATGCAAGAATTGAGCCCAACCCAACACCATTCCACAACGGTTTCACCATGTCCCGCAAGCCATGGGCCTGAACGCTGCAACGTCGCCGCGTCGGAACAGCAATGTCGAGAACGCATCTACGCTTGTGCATTGGGCCTGTGCTTCATACCACTCCTTCTGGGCGCCTTGTTGAATGTCTGTGCAAGAATGGATGACAATCCAACGCCAAACCACAACGGATTCACCATGTCGCGCAACACACAGGCCGGAACGTGGCATCGTCGCACTGTCTAAACACTGCTGACGGGAACGCATCTACGCTTGTGCGTTGGGCCTGTGCTTCATACCACTCTCTCTAAGCACCTTGTTGAATGTCCGTGCAAGAATGGATGACAATCCAACGCCAAACCACAACGGATTCACCATGTCGCGCAACACACAGGCCGGAACGTGGCATCGTCGCACTGTCTAAACACTGCTATCGGGAACGCATCTACGCTTGTGCGTTGGGCCTGTGCTTCATACCACTCTCTCTAAGCACCTTGTTGAATGTCCGTGCAAGAATGGATGACAATCCAACGCCAAACCACAACGGATTCACCATGTCGCGCAACACACAGGCCGGAACGTGGCATCGTCGCACTTTCTAAACACTGCTGTCGGGAACGCATCTACGCTTGTGCGTTGGGCCTGTGCTTCATACCACTCTCTCTAAGCACCTTGTTGAATGTCCGTGCAAGAATGGATGACAATCCAACGCTAAACCACAACGGATTCACCATGTCGCGCAACACACAGGCCGGAACGCGGCATCGTCGCACTGTCTAAACACTGCTGACGGGAACGCATCTACGCTTGTGCGTTGGGCCTGTGCTTCATACCACTCTCTCTAAGCACCTTGTTGAATGTCCGTGCAAGAATGGATGACAATCCAACGCCAAACCACAACGGATTCACCATGTCGCGCAACACACAGGCCGGAACGTGGCATCGTCGCACTGTCTAAACACTGCTGTCGAGAACGCATCTACGCTTGTGCGGTGGGCCTGTGCTTCAAACCACTCTCTCTAAGCACCTTGTTGAATGTCCGTGCAAGAATGGATGACAATCCAACACCATACAACTACTTTTTCTCGTCTGTTACTATTCGTCAACACATTCGTTTGTTACATTTTGTGTGTGTGACATGAGACAAACCCACTACCGGCGGCAACCCCATACTAAACCAAGAGCATCAAAGTTTTGGATGTTTTTTATTGTTGTATTTTTTGAAATTTATTCCGCGTACATGTTCAACACTGTGCGTTCACGAGATCACTGTATTTTGCAGGGATAAGGTTACATTCGCACTTGAGGTTCTAAAACTGTCGTACTATGCGTAGAGATTGATGCGTTGGCAATCGTGGTTGGCCAATGCATCTCAAACGAGTCCCCACACAACACAAGCACCAGCCAAGAGGTACTTCCGCCATTGAGCGGATGAGATCGAGCGGTAGGCGGGGTTATGCACGGGTGGCTACACGTACACCGTCCGATATAGCCTGATAGGGTTACAGTAATCTCTATAGTCTCGCAACCCACCCCAACCACCCTCGTGCCCCACCCACCTACTCCCGTCACCCTCTATGCCAACACTTAGACGCTGCTTGCTGTTTGACAAGCGCGTTTCCAGATCGCCCGTGACTCACCAGTATACTAAGTCACGGGCCGTAGCTCTGTGATGAGTGGCTACTATTTCAGGTTTAGTGATAGCAGCGATTTTCGGAGAAACATAACAGTGATAGGCCGTCGTTAAACACTTCGTGATATTCAGTTGCTGCGGCCCTTCAAAACAGGCTAACCCGTTTCGCGCGATAGACCTTGGCATTCCTACGGCAACCATGACACGTGCCACACGTCAACAAGCAATGGAGGAGGAACGGGCCGGACGCCGAGCGACAAGGACGATGTCTAAACGGACCGATAGGGAGGGTGGCGGCGGCGCTACGAAAACTAATGCGTCCGTTGCGCGTGGCACTGGGCTGAAAAAAGTGGCGGCAAAGAAGGTCGCGCGGGATCAAGAGAAGTCCGGCAGGAAGGCGGCAGACAACGGGAAGTAACCAATGCCACGCAAGCGTGTTTCTACAGTGAACAAAGATGCGGATGTTGCCTCAACTGGAACCACGCCCGGTCCGACTAACGACGGCACCAGTGGCGGCAACGAACATCCGGGGCAAGGGAGCGCGAGTCTTGCAGTCCCGTCGGCGGAGAGAGAGGGATCGACGACAGGGGGAAACCACGGAGGCGATCCACGTGCCGAGCATACCGCAACCAAGAGTCCGAGGCGGAGGCATCTCAACACCATCTGACGTTGCTCCAGCCGACCGTGGTCGAAATTTCTGCTGCCGTGCTGGATAAGGACAAGGTGGGGGAGCACGAGTCGATGGAGGATCCTAACCACGGCATAGCCGACGTCGGTGGCTCTCCTCCTTCTGGTGGACGGGGGAGACGTAGGCAGAGGAAGAGCGATGAGGAGGACGATTCTGACACCGCCGTGCCCGGGGACATCACCACGCGGACGAAGAGGCGGCAGACGACAGGCAGTGCCGACAACGCCGGTGGCGCGGAAGTTGGGAGAACGCGAGGCGCCAGTGAAGCTAGTGGCAAAGCGACGGATCATGCATTGCGCCAAAAGGGCCGACCCGCAGCAAGAAAAACATCCGGCGGAAGGAGGGGCAAGAAACGGGGTCGTGAAGACCCTGGTGAGGCCGAGGAGGAGGAAGCGCAAGAAGAGGAGGATGAAGAGGATGCGGAGGAGGATGACGCGGATGTTGGGGAGGATGAAAAAGATGAGAATGATGGCGGGGAGGACAAAGAAGAGGAGGAGGAGGAGGAGGAGGAGGAGGAGGAGGAGGAGGAGGAGGAGGAGGAGGAGGACGATGAGGAGGAGGATGAGGAGGAGGAGGAGGAGGAGGAGGAGGAGGATGAGGAGGAGGAGGAGGAGGATGAGGAGGAGGAGGAGGAGGAGGAGGAGGAGGAGGAGGAGGAAGAGCAGGGGGACGACGAGGAGGAGGATGAACAGGAGGAGGAGGAGGAGGAGGCAGAGGAGGAGGAGGAGGAGGAGGAAGAGGGGGAGGAGGAGGAGGACGTGGCGGCAGTGAAGGGACGGGGCGGGCGTGGCAGACGGCAGAGTGGTACAAGGAAGGTGGGGGGCCGGACTCGCCATTCCCGAAAACGCGGGGCAGTTGACGCCGCGCGCGGCGCAGCAGCTGGCAGACCGAAGGCGCGTAAGGTGAAGGTCGAAAGTGAAGGGGGTGGTAAAAAGCAAGGGCGCCAGGGAGCAAAAGGGGATGGAGGAGGTAAGGGTGGCGGCGCCAAAGGGGTTCCATTGGGTACTGGCAAGAAAGAACCTGCCGGTAAACGTCGCAGCGGCCGTCAAAGCACCCCGCGGAAAGGTGGCAACGAGAAGGCGCTGGCCCCAAAAAAACCGAATGGACAGCAGAAAGGTGAGCACCCTGGCCAATAGACCGGGCGTGGTTGTTGCACTCTTTGCGCAACCGTGCCAAATAACACCATTCTACACGTTGTTTCTCCCCTGCAGGGAAGGAGAAGGACGACGAATCTGCAAAGAAAGGTAAAGTCTCCTGTCTCAAAACAGTACACGGCTAAGCCCGATTTAGATTCAAACCATTGATTTCATGCATGACTGTCTGGCCCTGTATTGATACCGATCGACTTTAATTTCTTGATCCTACTCCCTCTAAATCTCAGCCCCTCGCGTTACAGGCATTGGGCCACCGGTAAGCGTGCAACGGATGCAGCTAATGAAGGGGGCCGGAAGAGCGAGTGTGACGCCGCTATCCACAGGAGCCCCAAGGTTCTTCACGCCGTACTCCGGCCCAAGCAAAGTCGTTGCGACGGCTCCCGGCGCGCCAAGAGGAGAGGAATCCGAATCACCTCCACCAGGCCCCGTCACGCACTCCCCACTCGCCTCACCCTCATACCCATTTCGGCCGCTACACGCTTCTCCTGTCCGGGGCAAGGCGGTCCCCCCCCTCGCTGGTCCTTCGCGCGGGCATCAGCCAAGCACTTCTGCCAATCCCTTCCCTGAGCTCCCCTTTTCCCGCCAGCGTGATAGTGTGAGGGCACACGGGACTGCTGAAGAAGATGCTGAAACCCTTGGCCAGAGGGGGGATTCTTCACACCCTTTTCCACCGCTCATGGGTGCCCTAGGTGAAAGTGCGGAGCACGAGTTGTTTGTTACACGGGAGGAGTTCCAGGCGCTGCGGTCTGAGATGTACGCCATGTTTGCACAGCTCGGCCTGCGTCGTGGAGTACCTGCCAGTTATGCCGGGGGTTTCGCAGCCGCGCCTATGGCTGGTACCCCGCCGCCGATGAGTGCCGTGGACAAGGCACGAGTGCTAGTGTTGCAGGAGACAAACCCATTCCCGGTATGTGGCGGGCCAAATGGGGCGGGTTGGGGCTGACGTGGGGGCTTGGAAGGGTACACGGGAGCGGCGCGTGACGAGGTGACTCGTGTCAGGTGGGTGGGGTGACGTGGCATGGGGTGGGTGGGTGGGTGTGATGTGGCACGTGGGGCTGGTTGTTCCCTGACGTGGCGGATGGAGGAGGGTGTGACGTGGCGGGATGTGAGGCTTGGGGCTGACGTGGCGGCTTGGACGGGTACACGGGAGCGGCGCGTGACGAGGTGACGCGTGTTAGGTGGGTGGGGTGACGTGGCATGGGGTGGGTGGGTGGGTGTGATGTGGCACGTGGGGCTGGTTGTTCCCTGACGTGGCGGATGGAGGAGGGTGTGACGTGGCGGGATGTGAGGCTTGGGGCTCACGTGGCGGCTTGGACGGGTACACGGGAGCGGCGCGTGACGAGGTGACGCGTGTTAGGTGGGTGGGGTGACGTGGCATGGGGTGGGTGGGTGGGTGTGATATGGCACGTGGGGCTGGTTGTTCCCTGACGTGGCGGATGGAGGAGGGTGTGACGTGGCGGGATGTGAGGCTTGGGGCGGACGTGGCGGCTTGGACGGGTACACGCGAGCGGCGCGTGACGTGGTGACGCGTGTCAGGTGGGTGGGGGGTGACGTGGCATGGGGTGGGTGGGTGGGTGTGATGTGGCACGTGGGGCTGGTTGTTCCCTGACGTGGCGGATGGAGGAGGGTGTGACGTGGCGGGATGTGAGGCTTGGGGCGGACGTGGCGGCTTGGACGGGTACACGCGAGCGGCGCATGACGTGGTGACGCGTGTCAGGTGGGTGGGGGGTGATGTGGCATGGGGTGGGTGGGTGTGACGTGGCACGTGGGGCTGGTTGTTCCCTGACGTGGCGGATGGAGGAGGGTGTGACGTGGCGGGATGTGAGGCTTGGGGCTGACGTGGCGGCTTGGACGGGTACACGCGAGCGGCGCGTGACGAGGTGACGCGTGTCAGGTGGGTGGGGGGTGACGTGGCATGGGGTGGGTGGGTGTGACGTGGCACGTGGGGCTGGTTGTTCCCTGACGTGGCGGATGGAGGAGGGTGTGACGTGGCGGGATGTGAGGCTTGGGGCTGACGTGGCGGCTTGGACGGGTACACGCGAGCGGCGCGTGACGAGGTGACGCGTGTCAGGTGGGTGGGGGGTGACGTGGCATGGGGTGGGTGGGTGTGACGTGGCACGTGGGGCTGGTTGTTCCCTGACGTGGCGGATGGAGGAGGGTGTGACGTGGCGGGATGTGAGGCTTGGGGCTGACGTGGCGGCTTGGACGGGTACACGCGAGCGGCGCGTGACGAGGTGACGCGTGTCAGGTGGGTGGGGGGTGACGTGGCATGGGGTGGGTGGGTGTGACGTGGCACGTGGGGCTGGTTGTTCCCTGACGTGGCGGATGGAGGAGGGTGTGACGTGGCGGGATGTGAGGCTTGGGGCTGACGTGGCGGCTTGGAAGGTTACACGGGAGCGGCGCGTGACGAGGTGACGCGTATCAGGTGGGTGGGGGGTGACGTGGCATGGGGTGGGTGGATGTGACGTGGCAAGTGGGGCTGGTTGCTGGTGGATGTGGCGGATGGAGGAGGGTGTGATGTGGAAAGTTCACACAGTCCATCCTGTGGTCACGCGGTCACAGTCATAACTGATGGTTTCTCTCTCCCCATGTTGTGTTGTAAACCCCACACCCCTGCGCAGAACAAGGCCTACTTAGTGTGCTCTCAGCTCCTGTTTCTGAACCCCCCGGAGAAAATCCAGTACTACCCTGCACCGGAGGAAGTGTTCGAGGCGTTCGCTGTCCACTTGTCTGCCGAAGGGCTCGAGTCAATGAAGCTGCTGTGGTTGCACAACGACAAGTCAACCATGGGTGTCTTCAACCACCAGATGTCGTCAACCAGGTCAACAATCAACAACACCCTCAGGCCAGCAACGTACGCCGGCATGGTCCTCTCCGATTACGCCCATCTCGTGGATACCCTGCCCACTGAGCTACACCCAAAGAAGTGGTTCAACCACGAGGATCTCCTGGCCGAGTACAGAGATGGTATGTGCAACTCGAACACACCATATCCCCCTGCCCATATGCCAGGTGGCAGCTACAAATAACCGTGCGGTGTTCTTCACCCTGACTCTCACCCAGCCACTTGATTTCTATGCACCCCCTTTCCAACCCGTACGCTCCATCCCAAAATGCAGAACAGTGGGCCCTCAACTGACAAGGCCACCGGAACGCCCTTCAGCAACCCCTTGTTTGCTTATGCGTTCAAGCTCTCCTTCAAGAGGGGCGGGGTCGTGTTCAACAAGTTCAAGAGCCGCATGGTGGCATGGGGCCTGTTTTCGGTAAGGATGTAGATATGTGTCTGTACACCCATGCCTCATGTCTCGGGAGATATGGGTTGCCTGTACTTCATCTAAATCCCTGGTCGCTTAGGCGTTTGCGGTTACGTAGGGTGTGTCGTCTTCACCGCTTTCAGTTGGCCCATATACCCGTAACCCCCCCCCCATACTCCATCCACCCAACCCTACACCACATTGCAGATCGAGTGGCCCCTTCTGCAGGATAAGCGTCGCAAGCGAATTCCGGCCCAGCCGGAACAAAACAGGCCGGACTACTTCGAGTGGTGTGACAAGGTCAAACAGATGATACACTTTGCCGTCGTGGAGCGGCGGATCCCACACGATCCGGCTCAGGGTGCGTTCGTCTTCCCGAACAAGTTCCTCATCGACGATGGCGACCTTGGAGATGTCATTCTTGCCCACCGGGCGATTGCAGGGCCCAGCATTGCGTAGGCTATTTGACCTGGTGCTAAAACTGCTGGTTGTTAGAATGCTGAATAATAGTTGTTGTTTACCAAAATATTGAATGTAATTCTGAAATCCTCAATACCCAAAATAAAACAAAACCAAAATCCAGTTTAACATATTTTGGTACCGAAATTGCACCAAAACGGATTGCGCCGGAATGTCATCCGGAAAAGCTCGCGTGCCAATTTGAAATTTGACCCAAGCCAAACCTTGTCGCGAGATGTGTGTCGGAGCTCCTATCAAATGATTCCAACCGTCGGTCGAAATTGGGTCCGGACTTTTTTACGCGAAGACAACCCCAATCAAAATTCGTCCAAACTTGGCATAGGGTTTTTGTGATGCAATGGACCGGCTGGACCACCTCGCCTGTTGGTTCAATGGACCGGCTGGACCAACTGGCCTGTTAGTCCAACGGACCGGCTGAACCAACTGACCTATTGGTCCAATGGACCGGCAGGCCCACCTGGCCTGTTGGTCCAATGGACTGGCTGGCCCACCTGGCCTGTTGGTCCAATGGACCGGATGGACCACCTGGAATTTTGGTCCAATGGACCGGCTGGACCACGAGGACAGTTGGTCCAATGGACCAGCTGGACAAACTGGCCTGTTGGTCCAATGGACCGGCTGGACCAACTGACTTGTTGGTCCAATGGACCGGCTCGACCACCTGGCCTGTTTGTCCAATGGACCGGCTCGAACACCTGGCCAGTTGGTCGAATGTACCGGCTGGACCACCTAGCCTGTTGGTCCAATGGACCGCCTGGACGAACTGGCCTGTTTGTCCAATGGACCGGCTGGACGAACAGGCCTGTTGGTCCAATGGACCGGCTGGACCAACAGGCCTGTTGGTCCAATGGACCGGCTGGACCACCTCGCCTGTTGGTTCAATGGACCGGCTGGACCAACTGGCCTGTTAGTCCAACGGACCGGCTGGACCATCTGGCGTCTTGGTCCAATGGACCGGCTGGACCAACTGGCCTATTGGTCCAATGGACCGGCTGGCCCACGTGGCCTGTTGGTCCAATGGACTGGCTGAACCACCTGGCCTGTTGGTCCAATGGACCGGCTAGACCAGCTTGACAGTTTGTCCAATGGACCAGCTGGACCAACCGGCCAGTTGGTCCAATGGACCGGCTGGACCACCAAACTTGTTGGTCCTATGGACCGCTTGTACGAACTGGCCTGTTTGTCCAATGGACCGGCTGGACGAACTGGCCTGTTGGTCCAATGGACCGGCAAGACCAACAGGCCTGTTGGTCCAATGGACCGGCTGGACCACCTGGCCTGTTGGTCCAATGGACCGGCTGGACCACCTGGCCTGTTGGTCCAATGGACTGGCTGGACCACCAGGCCTGTTGGTCCAATGGACCGGCTGGACCACCTGGCCTGTTGGTCCAATTGACCGGCTGGACCAACTGGCCTGTTGGTCCAATGGACCAGCTGGACAAACTGGCGTGTTGGTCCAATGGACCGGCTGGACCACCTGGACTGTTGGTCCAATGAACCGGCTGGACAAACTGGACTGTTGGTCCAATGAACCGGCTGGACCGACTGGACTGTTGGTCCAATGAACCGGCTGGACCACCTGGCGTGTTGGTCCAATGGACCGGCTGGACCACCTGGACTGTTGGTCCAATGGACCGGCTGGACCATCTGGCGTCTTGGTCCAATAGACCGGCCGGACCAACTGGCCTATTGGTCCAATGGACCGGCAAGACCAACAGGCCTGTTGGTCCAATGGACCGGCTGGACCACCTGGCCTGTTGGTCCAATGGACCGGCTGGACCACCTGGCCTGTTGGTCCAATGGACCGGCTGGACCACCTGTCCTGTTGGTCCAATCGACGGGCTAGACCAACTGGCC